ACTTAGCACCTACGTTCACCAAGAACTAACCAAGGCCACAGGCCGAATGATCAGACCAGGCGCCAAGCCAACTGATCCAATCTTCAAAACTAATACGACCTGTCCCAACATCATAGCAGGCGTCCGGCGGCATCCCTCCGGATGAAATTCGTCGCAGAGAGCAGCTCCCTTTTGGGTGGAACATTGCTCTATAAACTAATTACACGGCACCTATACGACTGTCCCCAAGGGCAACCACGTAGCCGTTTTTGAGACAAGGATAACTCTATCACTAACCAAACCAGTGGTAGCAGTTGACATCTGAGTCAGATGACCGCCTGTATTACTTGGGATAAATGCAGGGGGTACCTCTTGAGTTAATAGCCAACAAACATTGGCGAATCAAAAGGTTCAGCCGGCCTCCGCCGCCTGGTACCTTTACTACTCAAGCAGGAGTGACGGCGACTGAGTAACACCAAAGTTAACTCATAGTCACTCTCTCAAACTTAGTATGGAGCCTAAAAGGTATGAGTCGTCCGCCTGTTTTTAGCAAACAGGGGCTCTTAACCACTACTCCTGCTAGATTAACAACCTATGAGTTAAAAGCCAACAAACATTGGCGAATAAAGGGGAACAACCGGTACCCACCGCTTAATACCTCTACTACTCAGTTACTTGGCGACTAGGTAACAATCATGTTTACTTGGTCACTCCTTAAAAATTTAGTCTGAAACTAAAAAGGTGTTCATACAGCACCGGCTCACACTAGATTAAATATGGCGGGGAACAGTCGGCCTAGACGGCCTAAAGTCTCTAGCCTAAAAACATGACAAGTAGGAAACCACTTTCCTACTTGGTTAATTTTATATGACAGAACCGCCTGCCTAAAGGGGATCCAGTCTTTAAAATGGTTCGAATACCGATTGGATAAATGGCCGACTGATCGTCTAGCCTGGAAACAGACGACCAGTCGTCCAGGGGCATAGGCGGCGTGACTATCTATCTGTACCTGTCAGCAACTATCGGCCATGTAAAACAGTCGGTATAGTGTACAATTGGATATCAGAATATTCAATACTTAAACAAATTTGAAGCAAAACAAAAAAAAATTCATTAAAAAGAAGCCGGTTATTAAAGACCGGCAAAATATTCAGACCCCCGGCCCCCTGGCCGGGTAAATACAAACAAACGGCACGCAGGCCGTGGGAAGAAGACATAAAGCTTAAGAAGGGGGCAGATCTTCAATATCAGCAGCTGCCGCCTGGTCAGCACTCTTCTTGCTGGACTCGGCTTCAGCTGCATCCTTCTTTGATTCATTACCCCCAAGCGGCACAAGCGCCACTACCGGCTGCTCCTCCTCCTCCAACGCCTCCTCCTCAGCAGCCGCCAGGATCTCTTCATTATATCTATCAGAACACTGGCGGTACGTTTTTTCCCATGAGGCAAAGTCGGCATTGGGGAAGAGGCGGCCCCAAGTCATGCGCTGGATTTGAGCAGAGTCTTCCATCATCTCCCGGACCAGCTCTTTCTTTTCTTGCTCGGCCTTTTCTGAGAGCTCCTGAGTAAGACTCTTCTCCTGGGTCACCAGGCGTACCTTTACGCTCGCCAAGGATTTCTCCAAGGTTTCGTATGAGGACATCTTTTGGCGAAGAGGTCTCAGCTCGTCCTTGAGGTTGTTGATGGTCGCCTCCAGCTCGCTATTCCTCTTCTGGGCCGCCTCTAACTGAGCCCGGATAGCGGCGGTAGCCTGCGCCTGATAATAAAGAATATCAATGGTCAGAACTTTATTTTGGGCAATTTGAAACATTGCCTTATCACAGTCAGAGGCGGCCATAGCTTTTGCAGCCTTTACCTCTTTGTTCTTCCGGTCAAGCGGCTTGCAAAGGCCGTTCACTCGGAGCAGGGCCTAAGTAAAAAGGGGAACAGGCGTCAGTTTCCAAACAAAAAGAAAACAGGCGTCCTGGAATTCAAATACTCAAAAATATGCTAAGTATACCTCAGCAAGGACCCCTGCAATCCCGTCTAGGTCAAGGGTGCCGACACCCCTGACCGCCTCCCTTTCAGCTGGAGGAACGGCCTTGATCATAGACTTGGCCACCTCGACCAAGTCAGGCTCCTGAGGGCCGGCTGCATCAAGCATAAACAAACGGATTAGACCTAGTAAAGAAGGGAGCAAGTCTAAAATTTACAAGGACAATTTCATACTTCTAGGTGGCCCAGCTTGAGTTTTAGAAGAAGTGGCCGGCTGTTTCTCAGCCGCCGCATGTTTCCTGGCAGAACCAAGAGAGCTCTCAACAGACGTCCTCCGGGCCTTGGGGTCCGGCTGTTGGGAAGAAGAAGCTCTTGGAGCGCCCGTCTAAAAAAGAAGAAAAGAGTCAGTATATGCATAAACACAACTCCAAAAAGAGGGTGAAAGGTTCGAAGCCCACCAAGGGTGCCCCCTTGTTGGGGGAGTCGGTTGAAGACTGTTGCATGATGGAGGCCCGCAACATGGCCGTCGCAGTCTTGGAGGCGGTAATTTTGCTCATGGCGTCCGCTGCAAAAGCAAATAGCAAAGTTAATAAAAATCATAACAAGAAATGCACGGAACAACAGAGTATTCGATAGGCCGGCTACCTCTTGAGCACCGACTGCTGAGGCCACAGGCGGCCAAAAAGTACTCGTCGTAGAGCCATTTGAAGCTCGGGACGCAGTGCAGGGGTACTTGCTCTCGTACCCCTGAAGTAGAGTTCACCTTCGACTCTACTTTGAAGAGTCCTTTATCTAGGATCTCTTTCTTAGCCTTGGGGGGAACAGGCGGCATGCTGCGGCCGCCTGCAAGAAGGGGCGGATTCCTGTTCCACCTGTTGAAGCGCTTGTTCAGCTCTGTGTCTGAACTCTCAATGATAAGGAAGGTGCTCCGCCAGTCCTTCCATTTGTTTGCTTTACCTCTCGTCATGAGGTAGCCCCTGTGGATCGTCAATTGATACCAGCCGGTACCGCCTGCCTTAGGGGTCCGACTGAGGTAGTTCATGTGGGCGAAAGCCTCGAAGCTCGGCTCCACCCCGTGCAGTTCGCACCCGGCCACATAGCCGAGTACGTTGTCCCAGGAGTTCGGGGCTAACTGCCATAACCCCAACTCATACCTATCCAAGATCCGCTGAACAGCTGGATGTAGTGGGAAGCGCAGCCCAGCCTTGATGGCCGCCTCGTAGCAGCCAAAGCAGGCGCCATCATAACTGGTACCAGCCGGCCATACGACTGTGTCTTCTGGATCCGGCACGAACACTAAAAAGCCTGGGCCCATTGTGTGGTTTGCGATAAAGCTCTCCACTTTCTCTTGCATGGCCGTGATCCGGCCCCGAGGTACCGTGCAGTAGTAGGGGGTATTTTGCTCTCGGTGAGAGGCGGATGGCTCCGCCCAATCGTCCCCCTTCTCAACTGCGTAAGAAAGCCTCGCCTCTTGTAGGCGACTGTTTTTCTCTTTATGTCCAGGGAAGCATGGCCAGAAGAGCTAGACTCGGAATCGTCCTCTGACGAGTCCGAAGAGGACGACTCTTCCCCTCTCCCGGAGGGGCCCGCCTCCTCTCCTTTAAAAGGAGCAGGAGAGAATGTAGAATTGTCAACTGTAAAATGGGAAGGGGTCACTTTGACTCCTCCCTCAGAACTGCCGGCTTTCAAGCCGCTTTGTTTCACTTCCACATCTGGCGCCTGGTCAGATGTTTCACTAATCGGCACCCTGTGGGAGGAGCCGTCTGAGTTTGAGATCCTGGCAGTCTTTTTTGTTCTGGCCATCATGCTCTGCATAGACACAGATACAGTCGGACTTTGTATAAAGGGCAAAGATGGGTCCAGAAAAGGGCAGGCGGCACTCTTAGTCCTAGATTCAGCCGTCCCCGGTGACCGGCTGATCACTAACCTAGGTCGTGTCGTGTGCTTCCGTGGTGCCATTTCAAAAAAGAATAAAGTAAAGAGAAAATTAAGAGTAAGAGAACCGACGGTTACCTGAACGAGTGACGATTGATGAAGTTTTGAAAATCCTTTGCAGTCGGCTTGTCAGAGCAGGCGGTAGGCAGTATGGGTCCAAAATGTCAGAGCAAGTTCAGGGGTCCGAATGTTCTCTCACAAAGTTTTCAAGTGTGAAAATGACCGAAGTCAACACTCCTTTATATAGGCGAAGTGAGAAGGCGAAGGGTCACTTCCAGAATTCAAAATTTTGGCGGGAGAATCTCTCGGCCTCTCGCCGAGTGACACCTGTAGCTGGCCGTCGCCTGTTACAGGGCGATACCTGTCACAGGTAACACGTGACCAGTCACGTGCCACCTGTGAGGGGCAAATGATTAGGGGATTTTTCCCCACCAATCACCATCTGACAAGTGGACCAATCAGGTTCCGCCATGTGTCCGTCACATGGGCCAATAGGAGCCTGCCACGTGTCAAGCAATGATCCGTCCACTATGGACCAATTACGACACGACACGTGTCCTTCCCATGACACCTGGGATAACCGGTTACCTAGGCCCAACTTCCGAGGGAAGCCCAATCAGCCCAAGGTTAACCTAAACCTAGATTGACACGTTTCCCGAGGTTATAAATACCTCCCTTAATCCTCATTAAGGGAGAGGACGCTAAAAACGCAGATTACACACATTAAACACTCTCACCTAGAGAGACCCAATCACTTTAATTTCCGCATTAATTACTCCTTAATCAAGTACTAACTTGACCGTCGGAGGCGGATCTCCAATCATCCGGAGCATCCGTTTGTTTTGCAGATACAGGCGTCCGGTTCCAGTCTCGGAATTGTAACTCTCCCGCAGGACATCAGAAAACCCCGAAACAGGTATGATATTAAATTAACTTACACCACCCTTTTAAAGAGTGCTAATTAATGGAAGAAAAGGATTAAAGTTTTTGCACAAAAACTGACAAGTGACAACTCTTCAATTTTATCCAAAAACTCTTCTCACCCCACCCCACCTCACCCCACCCCACCTCAATAGGAGTAAGTCCATGTCTTTATCTATATTCTGTATAAATAGAACCTTCCCCGTGTCTCCTCTCCTCTCTATTCGCACAATTTCTCTCTACCTCTCTTACTCCTGTACCTCTCTTACTTTTACTTCTCTTGTACAATTCAATAATTCATTTCCTAAAATTCAATAATCAACCAAGAATCAAGAAATAAATAAGCTACTATCACACTTTTGAATCATTTAATTGGTATGTTCTTCTCTCTAATCTGAATTAGATCTTTCTATTTCATGAATTTATGTTTCTCTTTGATGTTCACTGTTTTGTTGGTTGTTCTTGATTTTTATGAATTTTTTTAGCGGATTAATTTGAATAACCTATCCTAACGGCCAAGTATAATCATTTTAATTATATCCCCTATTTTATGTAATTTGTCTTTTGCTGATATTTTGTTTTTCATCTTTGTTTTTGATAAATTTTTCCGGTTTTACTAATTTTCAATTAATTTTGCAATGGATTAGTATTTTTTAAAACTGAAACTTCATGTTTTTTTTTTTAATCGGTTGAAGAAAACGTCTGCTTTCCATTTTACTTTACTTTTCCTTGGAAATTGTTATTCTTTTCTTCGATGATTTGGTATGTCTCCTACAATTTAACTTTGATGCTTAATTTATTGAATAAAGCCAAAAATTACTCTTGAAAAAAAAAAAAAAACTTGTAAAACTGCATGATTTTTTATTATTTATTTTATTTATTTATTTATTTTTTTGCAATTTTATTCGAATCCTTTTACTTTGTTGCCGTTGTTGTAGTCTCCGTTGCTATTGACTGTTGGTGGGTTGATTGATTCAAGTGTTTTTGATTAATTTAGCTTTTCTTTGTTCAATTTTGTTGATTGAATCACAAATTTGTATTGGTTTGTACTCAATATGTTGTACTGATTATACTTATAGTTATTGTTTTAGCTTATGAGTTCGGATCTTGTTGTGTTTCATCTTTTGGAAGACGAATTTGTGAGCGGGAACATAAACTAGGGATAGTTTTGGTTTTGCTGATGAGTTCGGGTCTGTTGTGTTTCATATTTCAGAAGACGAATTTGTGTGCGGAAAAATAAACTAGGAATTTCTAATTTAGCAACTGAGAGTTTTCTTGTTTTTCATTGTGGTGGGGCAGTAGAATTTGTTATATACCCGGGGGGTTGTACCGTACGCCCAATTCAAAATGAGAATAAATACTAACAATCATTAAAATGAGAACAAATACTCATTGGTGTATGGTGCACCGGGTATATATAACAATCTCTCGTGGGGCGGTGGGTGTGAAGCTGTGGGCAGCTTCATGATGTCAATTGCCCTACTACATTCTTGACATACTAACCTCCCACATTGATTGATTATGGTCCCGCGAAAATGTAATGTTATATTAAGTTGTGTGCGTGGGTGTTGGGATCTTCAAGATATAAACCCTATTATAGTGAGAAATACATTTCCTTTGATAATAGTTGTCGGGTATACGAAAGCTACTCCGTATTTACAAGTGTTGGATCATTGCTTTCTTCTTGTCATTGTGTAATCTAAAATGTGGCAAACTAGGAGTCATTATGTTAGGAAATAATATATTTTCCTATATTCCTAACACATTAACTCATTTTGACACCATGAAGGGTGTTAATATCATTAAGCAAGAGATAACTTATAGGGGTAAAATAATAATTAAGTTCTAGTCGTAGTTGTAATTATAGGTTTCTTTCATTTCATCCAAAATTTCTTCTCGTGAACCCATGACCACTTGTTTTCAACTTAGGAATATGGTTTTAGTTGTAATACGAACTTGATTATCCTTATATAAACTTTTCCTTTTGAACCTTTTTTTGTTGTAAATTGAATTTTGTTGCTCTTCATTGAATTTAGTGCTTTAGTGGGTCTCATCGGACTTATATTTTCGTAACTTTAGATGGAAAAAACCAATTTGTGTAGGTTTAAAATTAGTATTAACAAGCATAAAGAATAGCGTATAAAGCCAACAAAGCAACCACTCGTAGAGGAGGGGGGAGAAGGAAAATTAAGAATTATGAGTACATGCTTTGCGTATTGGTGGTTTTCTAAATCAAAATTTGGAGAATGTTAGGTTTGGAGCCTCTAGGAGGGACTCTGATTACATCAAGCGTGTGTCCTGTATATGCTTTGTGTATTATAACATTTTGGGTTGCATCAGAAAGTTTTTTGTTGTCTTGTTTCACCTTGTTCATCATCCACCATTCTCTTTAGGGGTGTAGGAGAAAAAGATTTCTGTTATTTTTTAAGAAAAGAGTACCAAATTACAATGAAATCATGCTTGAAATAGAATGTTTCAAATATGTCTTTCATTCTAAAATGTTAGCAGAACAAACAAAAGTTGTGATTAAATTCATTGTAGTTGCCAAATTTAAAGTAAGATTTTACTTATTAGGACAAGAGTCAGGTTCTTTGTCAAGTGAAAGCTTGTCTCCTCTGGTTGTGTTCAGTCTTTGAAGAGGTTTTGCTAATAATTTAATAAACGATTTCTATGCATTAAGTTATTAAGCTTGTTTAATTCATTACAGTATTTAAAGAAGAAAGGAAATAATTGACATGGCAATTTCTAAGTTCTATTATCTGAGTAAGTCGGAATATCAATTTGCGTGTTACTATTTGTCCAAATGTTGACAGTTGACAATAACCCCTCACTGTTTGCCGCCTATTAATAATATAATAGTATGAAGTATTATCTTTGTTTATCCCTGTTGCTTAAAGTTTTTGTAATGGCCTTACCAAACAATAAAAATGATTGATTGTTTCCAAAATGTTATCATATCTTATTTTGGATAAGATCTGCTTGACAATTCTCACATGCTTCCATTATGTTATTCAAAATTCTTTGTTGTGGACCCATTTGTGCTTTAACTTTTCTAGCTTCCTCAACTTATCTTAGCAATTTGTTTGTGTTATATTATATGTCTTTTCTAGTTTGATTGACTTTGTCATTGATGTGATTAAATTTTTAAAGCATCCTTCATTATGGCAATCAGTTGCATTAATTAATCATATAATGTGTAATGGTTAAAGATTTGCTTCTACATACAATGTTTGAGTTTCAGTTTTCAGCTACAAAGGTTATAGTTTTAATTCTTTTTCTAGCGCTATTGTTGTTAACTATTGCACATAATTCTGACATGATTAGCTATTCTTAGGCTCATTGAGGAAAAATTGTCCATGGAGCAGTACTGTGAACAGCCTGCAACACAAAGTAGGTGCAGCAGGGGAGACATGAACAAATGGAATTCACCGTCCACTGTAGATGCTGGGAAAGAGAGTAATTCATCTGATGGTTTTGACTGCAATATCTGCCGAGACCTTGTTCAAGAACCAGTTGTAACATTTTGTGGTCACCTATATTGCTGGCCTTGCATCTACAGGTGGATACATTCCCAGAGAAGCTCCTTTGAAAGCTCTGAGCAACGACCCAAATGTCCCATTTGCAAAGCTGAAGTTTCACAGAGTACCTTGATACCGCTCTATGGCCGGGGACAGTCTAGGAATCCAACTGATAGTAAGGGCACCAAGCTTGATTTCTTGGTGCCGCAGAGGCCTAGCAGTCCTAGATGTGGGGTTCAGGCACTTATAACCACCACTACCTCCAGTAGTTTACAACATCCTGGCCGACAACTTCATTACCATGGTTTCCACCCGCATCATCACCAACTAAATCCATACAGCACTCTGGATGTCAACTCCCAGTCACCTGTATTCGAGCTTGCAGGAACCACTACATACAATCCTATGATTGAGATGTTTAGTAATATGATTGATGCTCGGATTCTTGGGAACTCACAAGATACACATTCTGCTTATCCAAACACATATAGTGTTGTGACCACCAGTAGTGCACGAGGCAGATGGCATATGATGCAGGTTGATAGGTCCCTGAGCAGAGTAAATTTTTTCTTCTGGTGTTGTGTTATTTTGTGCCTGCTACTGTTTTGAGACGAATGTTCCCTGCTTGACTGCCACAACTCAAATGTATCTATTTTATACTTGTATATATGAAAATGAGCATGGCTGGTATACGATCAATTTGCATGCCGCAGACCGTCAATCAATGACTTGATTTTGTCATTAAATTTGGGGTATCTAATGTATACAGACGGACTCATGTCATGCTTATGTGACATGTCATTGTAAAGTGCTGAAATTGCTGATCATTATGTTCATATAAGCTCTACGGTAGAAAGTAATTTCATAGGATCAGTGATAACTAAACTCGTGAGTACTGTAATATCTAATATGCCAATTGCAAAATTTGTGGTATTATAAAGTAATATATGATGAATGTTCATTACTTGAGACTTGGCAAGTTGGTTTCCTAAATATTACTCCGTATTGCTTTTTAAGGATATTTTGTGAAAAACTACCTTTTATACTTTGAATTTTGCAAAAAACTATCTAAAAACAAAATGTTGTAATTAACTATCGTATAAAGTCTAAAATATTGTAATTGACTACCTCCCACCTGAATAACACATTTGATTTTTATTTTCTGGTGTTGACCATGTCATGTGAGGGTCACATGATCCTTTAATGACTTAATTCCCCTCTTTTTCCTAAATTTTGCCGCATTATACCCTCTTTTCCTTAACAAAAAATATGATTATTCATATTTTATACTTCCTTTGTTCTTTTTTTATTGCACCATAAGAGTTTTCACACTTGTCAATGCATTACTTTAGCTATCAATATCTTCAATTATACTTTTATAAAATTTATAAAAAAATTGATATTTGAAAAGTAGAGTTCGATACGAATCCAACTAAATCCCACATGACTATATTTTTTTCCTAATGTATAAATCACAAATGATGGTCAAAGAAGATTAAGTAAATAGTGTAAAAGTCCAAATGGTGCAATAAAATAAAAACGGAGGAAGGTCCTGTTCTTTTGAGCTTCTGAACAGAGCAGAGCAAGGGCCAGCAGAGCAGAGCAGATTAAATTTCACCAGAGCAGATTTCAGGAGAGCAAAGCCGAGCAGAGCAGAGCAGATTTCAACATTATTATTAATACTATTATTAACGTTATTATTATTATTATTACTATTATTATTATTATTATTATTATTAATACTATTATTAATGTCATTATTATTATTATTACTATTATTATTATTATTACTATTATCAATGTTATTATTAATGTTGTTGTTATTTATTATTACTATTACTATTACTAAATGCATATACCATTGATTTAGGTGAGTGAAAACATAAATATATGTATACCATATTTAACATATGTTAATAGTAGAAAAATAAAAGACAACGGTTTACTTATATTTATTTCACCAAAATTTTAAAATAAAATGATTTAATGAGTAATAATGATTTTACTTATAAATTTGTCTTAATAATATATTTTTAACCATAAAAATAATAATGATATACAAAGTACTACTTGAAAACAACCTCTTTTTTTTTAATTCTTAAATTGTATGAAAAGATTTGAAAAAGAATTCAACTCAATTAAATAACAATCAATACCCACATACATATAATGTTTCTACACATTGTGAATCTAATATCAAATGTTTATAAAAGAAATTGTTATTAATTGTTATTATTATTATTTATTTTTTTGAAAGAATTGTTATAATTATTAGAAATTATTAATTAATAATATTATTAAATATTAATTCTTAATAGTTTGAATTATTAAATATTAATAATGATAACTATTATTATTAATTATTATTATGATTTATAAATATTATTTATTATTAATATTAATAATTATTAAAATTATTTTTAATATTAATAATTATTATAATTATTCAAAATAGTAAATTATTATCATCAATACAATATTAATTATTAGTATTATTGAATATTAATTATTATTGTTATTATTAATTATTATTTAAAAATAGAGCAGAGCAGATTTCTTTTGAGCAGAGCAGAGCGAAAAAGAGAAGAGCAGAGCAACTCTAAAGAATGGGGCCGAAGTATTGTTTATTTGCAACTCATTTGATAATATGGGATGAATTGGCGTAAAGCGGGAAAATTTGGTGAAAAGAGGGATATTCCCTCCGTTTTTAAATACTTGCTCCATTTTTTTTTTTCGGTCGTTTTTAAATACTTGCTCCATTTCCTTTTTTGAAAAGCTTTTATAATATTTAATTCATTACTCACACTTATTGGACCCAACTTAATACTCTCTCCTCATATTCTTCCACTACTTTTGATTATTTTACAATGTTTTATTTTCTCAACTATACCACTACCTCCATATTTTATTACTTTCTCCAATTTCTCCTAAAACTCCGCGCATGGAGAAATGGAGCAAGTATTTAAAAACGGAGGGAGTAAGTCATTAAAGAGTCACGTGACTCTCACATGACATGGTCAACGTTGGAAATTAAAAGTCAAATGTGTCATTCCGGTAGAAGGTAGTGAATTACAACGTTTTATATTTTATAAGATAGTTAATTACAACATTTTGTTTTTAGGGTAGTTTTTCACAAAAAAATCCTTATTTTTAAGATGTATACACAATTTTAAATTTAATACTGGCTTGATTTCTCAATCATAAACGCGTGAGGTTTCCCTTCATTTGAATGACAATCCCGTTAAGCAGATCGTCAGCGAATACGTTGTGTTCATCAAATCGCAGGGGAAGCTGCTCTTCATTCTGCAGCCTTTAATATTAGTTGGTAATTTGTTTGTTTTTATCCATTATTAAAAAAAATTAAAATATAATATATATATATATATATATATATAATAATAATAATAATAAATAATAATAAATAATTAAAATTAGCTGAAAATAATGATTTTTTTTGTTTGAAACATGAACACGAGAATTTATTATATTGAAGCCCGTGCGATGCACAGTTTGTTAGTATTTTTTTTATAAAAATATTTTTTATATTTATGTGATTAAAATTATTATTATATTAGTTTTAAAATATCAGATAAAATTCATAATCTCAAAAGATAATTTTTTGTATTTAATTATAAACATTAAAATCTCATTCGTCAATTTTACTTGAGTGGCATTTGAATTCTTTAATTATAAAAGAAATTAATAATCTCTTATTTAATTGGGTACCACTTAAATTTATAATCTTACATGACGCGTTAAGAAAATTAAATCCTACATGGCTCTAAAACTCGAGGAAAAACTCCCCTTTAATTATATAAGTAATGTGGCCCGTGCGATGCCCGGGTTGTTTATGGACTTTTAAGATAAAATTATATTATGATTTAATTTAATTGAAAATAGAATTCTAATTTAACTTTTTTTTTTCTACAAAGTCTATCTATATTTATCCAACGTGGTACGACACTTGGTGCGTGAAAAATTAAAACGCTAAAAGATGTTGTCTTGTGGCCTAATTATAAGTTTATTATTTGGTATTTTATCGAAAATAAAACTCTAAATTAACAATCTTATTCTAAACCAGCTTTTTATCTTATGAAGTTTATCCAAATATATCCAAGGTGGTGCGACACTTGCCGATTTTTATGTATGAAGTCTATTAAAATCTATCCAAGGTGGCGTGACACTTGACGAAAGTTGAAATGCCAAGTGTCACTATTTCGTGACTTGGCTAAAAGTTTAGCTTTATATATTAGTTATATGATATATATATTAAATTATTAAATTAAGGTCCGCCAAAGTTCGTAAATAGTAGGAAAAAAAAAAGTTACAAATTCAGTCATTGCTAACGCTCGTATCTCATCTAGCCGCTAGATGAGATTAATGAATTTTGTAGGGAACAATTGAACTAAACCGAATTTCAAGTCATTGTTGTTTGCGTTGAAGTGTTGAACCATCATTAGATCAATGTTATCATTTTGAACTTTCTAACAAGTATGAATTATTGAGAACATTCTGTAATAAGTTGAATAATTGAGAACTTTCTGATTTTAGTTTGAATTATAGTACAACTAGAATTTTCTAGAACATATTAGAAAAAGTGAAACGGTATTTTAACGAACACAGCTCAACTTTTCTACGGAAAATTACACTTGATTTGATGACCTGCAAGGATACACTTGATTTTATTACTGAATAATGTTGACAACTCTTTATAGGACTAATTATAGACCAATGCCCTTTACAACATTTTCAAAGTCCATAGTTATCAAGCTCATCTAATCACAACATTCACAAGTTCAGAACAAAATCTGATTCTAGAACAAATGCCTTGTTGCAATATCACCAAGCTACTTTGGAGAATTTTCCCCTCATTCCCCAATCCCTAGTGTGAGCTCATCACTTTAAGGGGGTGTTTGGTATAAACATTGTAAATGAAACAGAAAGGATTCAAATAAGTAAGGGAAAGGGTAATGATAAACATTACATTTACTATATGTTTAGTATCCTAATAGAATGAAAACAAATTGAGAATATTATGATCGAGTAAGAATACGTATTTTATTTCCACTAGTTTGTCAAGGGTAACAAATTGGGAGATTTTATTGCCCTCCGGAAGCAGTGTTTGTTACTCAAAGAAAAGGAAACACTTAATTTAATCCGTTTCATACATCTAAAAACTAATATACCAAACGCCCCCTAAATGCGAAGTAAAACAAAAACAAAAGATTTCCAAATTCTCCAGAGAGTTCTATGACACCAAGAAACCTCCTAAATGTGCTACTACCTCATGCATCAAACCCTGTGAAAAATTGAATCACAATTTTTCAAATACTCATCACCTGAGCCATCCCCTCATATAAGAGAGAGAAGTTACCTCTTCCAGTAGCCCATTGATTTCCACAAGAATGATTTTCTCAGCAAAAATGTTTATAAAACAGAATACACAGATAATAGCATATTGCTTTGCTTCACAAAAGACAACTGAACACTAAATGAACCAAGAGCTTGATTGCTTGAATGCTTAATAGCCTAAAGTTGCCTCTGCTATTCTTCATAGATGGTTGATGCCACAGTAACTGTTTACACATTGGCAAAAAAAGATGTATTCACTGCAATCAAGAGTTTATTAGTAGTATATACCAACATTCTCTATAATCGATAGCTAAGAATTCGAGTAGGAGCATAATCTGTGAGTCTATCTAATGACCATTGATTTACAAATATCCACAGTTATTTCTTTACATCCAGCAACTAAGATTTCCGACAGCTAACCTTTATATCCTACTAAAAAAAATACATGTACAAGGCATGATATTCACTGCAATCAAGAGTTTATTAGTAGTATACACCAACATTCTCTATAATCGATAGCTAAGAATTCAAGTGAGTAGGAGCATAATCTGTGAGTCTATCTAATGACCATTGATTTACAAATATCCACAGTTATTTCTTTACATCCAGCAACTAAGAT